TCAGCATTGGGAAAAGCAGCTTAGGAATGTACTTTGATTTTTTTTTGTTCCTTAACGAAGAAATTATAATATTTTGGATGAAAACAAATCATAAATGAACAGGTACAACTAGGATATATATGTAGCTTCAACAAATGGGTCATGATTTGGACATGTAATAATTAATCGTGTATATACTACAATTTAGACTATTAGTTTTTATATATATAAACAAGCACCGTGCCCATTTTCTCTTGTTTAAGTTACATTACATGACAGTAAATAGATATATTCCTTGCAAAATAATACAACAAATACATTACATAATTCTCCTTCAGTTTCATATTATAAGTCATTGACTTTTTTCTAAGTCATTTTTTTTATGTTTCACTAGAAAAATATAGTAAAGTTTTTAATACCAAACAAATTACAACATATTTGGGTTAGATTTGATGGAACTAATTTGGTGTTACAAAAGTCACTATTTTTTCTATAAACTCGGTTAAACTTATAACTTAGGAAAAAGTTATAATATAAAGTGGAGGGAGTAGATTACAAACATCAAAAGCACACATCAGCTTCGATGTTCAATGAGCTTAAATCCGTTGCAACTCAGTAAAGGAAATTTGCACATGCAAAAACATCTCCATGGTCCATGCATGTGCATTGCTCATACCGGTGAATATATATTCGCCTTCCAGTACCGTCTGATAGCGTGAAATGAGACGACGACCGTCGTCAAGAACAAACCCTATTTTTTATTCTAGTACCAATCAATCAACTGATCACGAGAGTTACCTACCTTAGCAACCAAGCCAAGTGAAAGTAGTTAGTTATTAATTAAACACAATGGGCACAGCGCGAGAGGCCAAGATATAGCCTAATTGCTTTCTGCCTTCTATCGATCGCTTCGAATGATGTTCTTTCGTGAACGTTCAAATCCAATGCTAGAGGCACACACTTTTTCCAACCATTTTTTTTAAAAAAAACAAATGTCAAGTCGTAACATTGGACACGAATGAAGAGTTTAATTGAAGGGTAAAATTTTCACTATGTTACTGTTTTAAAATAACTGGGAGATTTTATATGAAAAATTTTGAAATAGTGATGTAAAACTATCGAAGCTGCAGCAGTTGTGCCGCTAGAACTAATAGCATCACCAAAAGTACTCCAACAGATCCCCTACTCCCTTGCATGATTTTTGGAATTTCCTTTCTCGAAATATTCGCTTGTTGATATGCGGGAGAAAGCGGTGCCCTCGCTTATTCATTCCCAATCTCGCTGCTCCCACCTTCCTCATCTCCTTCACACGTGTGGGAGATCGGCACGGCTTTCATGGGAGCGCCAGGAGGTAGTGCGCACTGACGGAGGAAAACAAAAATTTTGTTAGTTTAATAGAAGGTCCACTTTTTTGTTTTTTTATAAAATTTAGGTTTTCTCTTGGAGAGATGAGTTATTGTGTTTCCTATTTTCAGTTTAGGAAAACAAAAATATTTTTTTTGAGGGGGATTATACGTAATCTCTTAGTGATGCTCTAAAGCCTAATAACAAGCACAGTGAAAATAGTGATATATATGCAGACAGTTGCTAAATTCAATTCCCTCTTTAATAAAAAAAACATGACACTATTTTTAAGGGAATATATAACGCTGTTAATTTATGAACATGATATTTCATTTTCCATCTTATTAATACAAATTAGTACAAATATATAAAAAGCTTAAATTACCATTACCGATAAAATAATTTGTAACAAAATAAATTATAGTCCCTTCAGTTTTTAATAATTAACTGTTGTTTTAGATTTATGTTTGACCATCCATTTATTGAAAAATATTTAATTATCATTTATTTTTGTTATAACTTGATTTATCATTAGAGGTATTTTAAATATGGTTTACATTTTTTTTACATATTTGTATTAATTTTTTAATAAGATGATCGGTTAAATGTATTTTCAAAAGTTAATGGTTTTATATGAAACCGGAGAGAGGACTTACATATATAGTCTTTTTAGTAACACGAATTGGTAAAGTGATATGTCCAAAGTTCAATAGCGTCTTCATAGCATTTCACATTTTATAACCAACTAGAAGGGATAGTACGTGTCAAGCAAGATGCGTGGATCACTTCCTTAACCCCAATTTTTAGTGAATCATTTCCACTATTTATATGGTGCAGACTTGTAAAATTTCGCGACTTCAAAAACAAATCGAGGGGGTGTTTAGATTCCACCCTAAAATTTTACATCATGTCACATACGTTTAAACATCTGCAAGAAGTATTAAATATAGGCTAATTAAACAATTAACTAATTGCATAGATTGCGACTAATTTACGAGACAAATCTTTTAAGCCTAATTGCTCCATGATTTGACAATGTGGTGCTACAGTAAACATTTGTTAATGACAGATTAATTAGGCTTAAAAAATTTATCTCTCGGTTTATCGACGGATTCTGTAATTAGTTTTTTAATTAGTGCCCGAACACCTCATGCAACACCCTATATAATATCCGATGTGACACGCCAAAACTTTATACCCTTGGATTTAAACACCCCCTGAAGCACTTCGAGACATCGCTCCAGTAAGAGTTGGATCAAGATTAAGTTTTTCATGGCACGCTTTTCAAACTGCTAAACGGTGAGTTTCGTGTGAAAACTTTCTATATAAAAGTTGTTCTAAAATATCATATTAATCTATTTTTCAAGTTTGTAATAATTAAAACTAATCAATCATACGTTAATACCACCTCGTTTTGCGTAAAAAACTTAATCTTTATCTTCAGGAGAAAAGAACACCAATGATGATTGTAAAATTTTAGCAAGATATAAGTACAATAAGCTGCACCAATACAATATAATGTACGTCGATGCATATACACTACTGCAAATAGAACTTGAGGAAGCTTCCGTCCTTCATTTATGAAGAAATAGTCTTTTGGGTTGTTTCAGATATGGATCAGCATGGAGGACAACTAAGCTAAGTTTGTAAACTGCTTAAGCGGGAAGGTAGCATTCAAGATAAACAAAACGAAACATCCTCGCAAAATATGAAAAAGGATAAACGAAATGAGCATGTGCAAGATTATCTAGTGTACGTTACCGATTGACCTGGTAGCTGTTCTCTCGTCCATAGCTTTCTCGAGCTGGGTCATATGTCAGTTATGTCTAATCCAGTTGGATCAGTTTTATAGTAGTTACCATTAACCGTGGTTTAGCCAGGTCCAAATAAATCCAATATTTATCGGGCAAAACTCCCTGTCCCTGCAATTGTAACTGCCAACTCACTTTCACCTCACGTTTTCTCTTGGTTTTGTTTTAGCCCACGCGTAGATGGATGAGCCCTCTCCTCTTCTGGTTATCATGTGAGGTTAATTTTTTTTTCTCCCTGTGATAAAATGATAGTGTATAGATTTTCAAAGAAGCATGAGAAATGTTGAATAAATGTATGCTTATAAAACCCATGAATTTTCAGCATACACATTTCAATGCACTTCTTTTTGCTTAATTAGAATTAATTTACAAATATAATAGATTTATTTTTTATCGTGATTTTTACTGAAAATGGCGTTAAAGGCCATGACTAATTTTAGTAGGTGTAATAAGTAAGATCACAAAATTTTTGGACAATTACTTAGACAAAGTAAAACAAATTAACTAATAGTACCCATTTTAGGTTAATTACAAATGACTACACACTAAAAATTGACATGATTTAATTTCCTATCGATTAAAGGGAAGACGCACACGGACACCACGCGTGAGAAATGATACCGGGATTGATCGTAAGTTGATGACAAGGTTTCTGACTCTGAAATTACCTTCACTATGCATGATCCTAACAAATTATGGGTACTTTCAAAATTCTTAGCATTAAATTTAAATAAATGTAGCTTAAGAAACAAATTAAACATCATATATAATGTGTAAAGCTAAACACATATGAGGTAGAGGGTTCATGGAATTTAATGCAAGGAAACCGTCTAGGTTAAAAGAAGAAGTTCATTGGTATGCATTAATTAGCTTACTATCTAAGACTAGGCTTTTGGACCCAAAGAAGAAGTATAAAAATCTTATCCCTAAATTTATTTCCCTTTACTTTGGTCACGTGTCTTCTGTTTATAAACTGTAAAGATGATTTCCAAGTGAACCTATAAAAAAATTAATATATCTTTAGCAACAAATTAACCACCTCATATAATATGTGAAAAGCCAAACACACTATGAGGAAGAAGGTTTCTGGAATTCAGTGTCAAGGAAACTGCCTAGGATAGAAAAAAGAGGTCATTTGTAGTATGTTTTAATTAGCTTAAAGGATATATTGATCTCTAATACTTCCATCTTTGGTGAATGAAAACATATAGCGAGGAAAAATTTGGTTTATTCCTAGAAGTTTAGATGATACAACCGTCAATATTTACAGACAGTATAAAAATTCACTAATTTCACCTTTCATAGAAATACAGCTAGCACCTGCAAAATTCATTAACTCAGATATGCATTGTGCAATCTTAAGGATACAAATGAAGGGCACCTAAAATTGCACTGCACCCAAAATAAGCACATATATCCTATACATTTAAGCGATATATGATACGCTGCATCACCTTCCGTCCAATTAACTGCGACCAAATCTGGGTTTATTTTTACTTGCCAAATTCGAAAACATTAAATTGGAAAAATGTGTGCACGGTTGGTTACAGCCCAAGATTAGAGGTGAAAATAGATCACCAGAATAGCTGGCATAATGAATTAGCTCCAAATAAAGCTGGCTTGGAAGCACGTAGTATAAGAAAGGCAGCAGGTAAAGAAGGAAGGAAACTGAAACGGGAAAAGAGATCAGGTCCTTTTTTGCGAAATTGCGGATACACCCTTCCCGAAGAGCCCCAGAACGGCCGGTCAACGGCACCGTTGACCGTATGAGGGGGGGGGGGCAGTTTCGTAAATTCCACGAAACACTGTCCCACTCCTCGTCTTCTTCGGATTGCCTATATATAAAGGCCACACCTCGTCTTCTCCATTCTCCGTCTCCAAGTTTTTTTTTTCTCTCTCTCTTTGTCGCCGTTAGCTTGAGGCGGCGAGGAGCTCGACGACGTGGAGGACATGGTGGCGAAGCGCGGCGCCGGCGCTTGTGCCCTCTCCTGGGATGAGGAGGGCGAGGTGTCCCGCGGCGAGAAGAGGAGGAGGGCGGATGGGGATGGCTCGTCGGACGTTGGCGGCGGCGGCGGCATAGGGGCGTTCGACGCGCTGCACGACGAGCTGGTCGTGTCCATCCTCGCCGACGTGGCCGCCTCCGCCGGCTCGCCGGCTGACCTCGCCGCCGCCATGCTCACGTAAGCGCCCGGCCCCCGCCGTTGGGTGTTCCGTGTTCGGTTTGGATCCGCGCGCCGTCTCGTGTCGTGTCCGAGTTTCCGTTTTGGTTCCCGCGTGTGTTGCGAGGAATCGGGCCGGTTATTGATTGGGATTGAGATTTTCTGATCGGAGTTTGTTCGGGGATTACAGGTGCAGGAGATTCAGGGAGCTGGGGAAGCACGGGCTGGTGCTCGCCCGGGCCTCGCCGTCGGCCGTCGCCGTGCGCGCCGCGGCATGGTGCGACGACGCGCACCGCTTCCTCGTCCGTTGCGCGGAAGCCGGAAACGTCGAAGCCTCCTACCTTCTCGGCATGGTGCGTTGCGCCGCGCTGCTTGCACACATTCCATTTCTTGTTGCGTTCCTCGCGTACGTACATGCGACCTCTCGATTGCTCGAGTGCGTGCTTTGATTTTTTTTTTCTTTTTCTTGTTTTGTTCTTGCAGATCATGTTCTACTGCTTCGAGAATCGCAAGCTGGGGGCGGAGCTGCTCGGCGCGGCGGCGCGGCGCGGGCACGGCGAGGCGCTCTACTCGATGGCGATCATCCAGTTCAACGGCAGCGGCCTCCCCAAGGACGGGCGCAACCTCCAGGCTGGTGCCCAGCTGTGCGCGCGCGCCGCGTCGCGCGGCCACACCGACGCGCTCCGCGAGCTCGGCCACTGCGTCTCGGACGGCTACGGCGTCCGCCGCTCCCTCTCCGGCGGGCGGCGCCTCCTCATCCAGGCCAACTTCCGCGAGCTGTGCGCCGCGGTGGCGAACGGCGGGGCCAGGTTCGCCGCGGCGCTGGGGCGCAGCGGCGAGTGCAAGCCGCCGGGCCCGCACATGTGCCTCCTGAGCGACTACGGGTGCCACGTCGCCGGCGCGGCGGGGCGGCGCGCGCACGCGGCGAACGCGTTCCTGGCCGGGTGGTACGCGTCGCGGCCGCTGGCGTCCGGCGCCGGCGCCGCGGCGCTCCGGATGTGCTCGCAGCCCACCTGCGGGCGGCCGGAGACGCGGAAGCACGAGTTCCGGCGGTGCTCCGTGTGCAGCGGGGTGATCTACTGCTCCCGCGCGTGCCAGGCGATGCACTGGAAGGTGGCGCACAAGAGCGCGTGCGTGCCGATGGCGCACTGGCTCGTCGCCGCCAACGCCGGCGCCGGCAATGCGGTCGGGGCCGCGGCGGCGGCGGCGGCGCAGATGGCGATGCCGTGACCCGCGGCGACACCGCGTCCGGGAGCGTGTGGTGGTCGTAGCTCGCCATCTCCGGGATGCTCGCTTGTGTTTCCTCTGCTCCACCGTCTTTGCGTCTTTAGATTATCGCTCATTAATTTACTTTCCTGTACTTAGTTCCTTGTTAGTGTTTTAAGTTAAGCCAAGCCTTTTTGAGAGGGAGAGAGAACTAGTAGCAACTCTTATGTTAATTTCCTTTTTTTTTAGTTTTGAGTATTATGTTTCTTCTTGTTTTTGTACATCGGTAATCAAGTTTTCATCAAATCTACGATGAAACAAAAACCAAACAAGTTTTTGAACTCCATTCTGAGAAACGCATTCAATCTTTGATCGAGGAGCAGTAGTAAATAGGATGGGATGGTCGGTTCGGTTCGTATCACGCAAATGGGGTGGTAGGAATCATAAAAGTGAAATAAAAATCTGGAGGAAACGAGCGGGCAAGCCGTGAAAGAAACGATGGGGGTGACCGCCTGCTTTTCTGGTAACGCCCCTACGGTCTGCGATGCGAGTCAGCGTACGAAGTTTTTTTTTTGTTTTTGGGGGCAGTCATAAATTCAGGCAAACAAAGTGAGCAGCTGGCTGCTGCCAAGTGCCAAGCGGTTGAAAAGCGGCACACGGGTCGTAAATATTTGGCCTGTAGCGTGGAGTGGCACAGACAGACAGACCGCACACGGCAGCAGAGAGAGGAGCAAGCGTACTTTTGGCGCAGGCGGAAGCGAAGCGCCTCGCGAGGATTCGGGCGGGGGGCCTCTGCTGTTTTTCTTCTGCGCGGAAACGGGACGGGGCGACCGTCACGAATCTGTGGTTCTGAAGTCTTTGGTCCTTTTTTTTTTTTTCGGGGAAGGGAGAAATCTTTGATCCTTTTATATTTATACCGTGTCACCGTCCTACACTTGTAGCGGTGAAAACGTACGGAATTGTTGCAAATCCTCGGGAGAAAAATAAAACAAATACAAACGGGACGGATAGGTTTTGTTCGCTTAAAGACAACGGATAATCTTAGTCTGCGTTCTTTGTTGGGAGTTCCCAACTCCCCTCGTTTTCTACGCGTACGTTTTTCAAACTACTAAACAGACGGTGTGTTTTTTACAAAAAATTTATATACAAAAGTTGCTAAAAAATCATATTAATTCATTTTTTTAAAAAATAGCTAGTACTTAATTAATCACACGTTAATGCGAACATCGTTTTGCGTGCCCTCCTTCCGAACACAGCAAATATAGATACAAATACAAATATTTTTTTCCTCGGAACAAATACGTCGGAGTTTTCAACGGATACCGATAATAAGATGGATATCCACCGAAGGCAAGAAACATGAAAATTTCTTTCTTAATTTACACTTCAACTTAGTACTCTCTCCTTCCAAAAATCTGAGATCTATTTCTTTTTCATCAAAACCAAGAAGCAATTAACTCACTCAACATATGGCGAAACCAATGAACATGCAACCAATAAGTATTAGAATAGCTTCTTGGTTTCCAATCAACAATTTAATTTAGCACATAGTGACTATAAATATGACTCAGATTTGTAGAGAAACCAAAGAATGAAATAGGTCTCAGATTTTTGGAAGGAGGGAGTACCTATTTAGATTTTCTTTTAAAGAAACACAGTTAAAATGTACACACTTACAACGTGTGCACACTCACTTTTATTAATACTCACGCACACCTACACCTATGAACACCTTCAAAAGTTTGAACCGGTATAATATTGGCTAGAATTTTTTCCTCCCATACTGTTCTAGTGCATCGGCCTTTCCTTCAACAAAGTGGCAAGAATGTGATCTGGCTCTATAATTTGTTTGTATAAAAATGAGATAGATAATAGATAGTATGCCCACTTTTAATATAGACCATTATAATCTTGACCCATATATTAATCTGTGGCTTATTAACATGGGAATTTGTAGGTGTGGAGACTAAACATGAAGGCTTATTTTTCTATTATTTTATTAAGTTAATAGATTGCACTTGGGGTAATTACTATTCGTTGGAGGGATGAGCTTGGGTAGACATTTGAAACCATGGGTCCAAGATCGACCAAGCGTTTTGGGTGAACCTGATGCACCCTAGAGTACTCGATAGTAATAAATACAAAGCAACTATATAGGTTTGTGCTGAAAGTGCAGTTCACACCTTTGAGTCCAAGTGAATGTGTTTTGAGGATTGTCGATGTCACCTAAGGGGGAGGGGGTAGGTGTTTCATGCAATTACAAAAACTAGGAACGGAAATTAGAACTAACGGGACAATCCGATACTGCTACAGACAGTCCGACAATACACAGTATTGGACAATCCGACATTAGCCGGACAATCTGATCAAACGCAGAGGAAAATAGGAAGTCTCACCTACTAGAGTATAGGCCTGGACAATCCGGTACCGAGCGGACGGTCAGACAACACCAAATGCACGACAATGTGATCACAACAAGACAATCCGACTTTGTATAGAGAGTATAAAACCTATGATAAGGTATAGCACTTCGCACACTAGTTTTAAACTAGTTGAAAACCTATGACAAGGTATAGCACTTTGCACACTAGAAATAGGAGATGATCAATAAGATATAAATATGCAACAAATAAGATCCCCAAATCGTTCAACATGAAAGCATAAGTGCAAAGTAAAAAGCTAGGAGGCACTAATTTGTTTACCAAAATTTGGATCTAGCCAACCCTACATCTCCATTGAGGGGCTTCGAAAAGCCAAATCTCTTTCAACCCTTTTCCTATTCAAGCTACCACCTCCGATGGTGCCTTGGTCTCTTCAAGCAACCACCACAGACAAGCTTGTGCTCCAAGAGACCCACTCAGTCCCAAGCTTGGACTCCAAGCAACTTCCCTCTGATGAAGCTTATTGTACCAAGCACCCACCGAGATGATGCTTTGCTTCCACTATTATCTCTTCTCTTATGGAGGCGATGTATATAACCTTCACAAACTTCTCCTGGGCACACCACACTCCACTTGGTTGACCGCAGGCTTCCCCTTCTCTTAAAAATGCTCAAGTTCTCCAACTTGAAACACAAGCCTCTCTTTTTCTCTAGCAGCACACAAGCTATAGCAAACTCTTGATATGGTGGGAGAACAACTAGCCTAAATGTGTAAGAACTCACTATCAAGGCTAAACTATCCTTGAAAGGATCTTCAATTAGCTGCTTAGGCTATTGGACATGCACTTGGCTTGCTCAGGTAGTAGAGGGTCCAAAAGTCTTAAAACAACTCCACGGCACTGGGTATATATAGCCCTAACCCCTCCAACTAGTTGTTTCTAGTTGTTGCTAGAAGCTGCCAAAACCTGTATGGTGCAGGACAATCCACCATAGGTGTTGGACAGTCCACCATCGGGGTGGATTGTCCGCCACCATAGGTGTCGGACAGTTCATCACCGGGATGGATTCCCGAATAATCCGGTACCTTATCTGATTGTTTGGCACTACTAAACTCAATTTGTCTGCCCGTCTCAGACAAAGCTTCTCTTGGATAGTCTGCTCGCTCCTGGACTGTCTGGCCTTCACTTCTCCATCTTCTGGCTGACTCGAATATGGGCTTGCCCGTACAATCCACTCCATCCCAAACTGACCAGCCTTTATCTTCTTCCTTCCAAGCCTTATCCCATTCACTTCTTCTTCAATAAATATTGGTCCTTAGCAACTTGTGACTTCTTATGGCCTTGACCGGTCCTTCGACATTTCACCAAGCACTTGCTCCTTCACCACTACATCGAGTCCTTCTCTTATGCATGGTCCATTGCGTAGCTAAGTCTTGCCAACCCTTTACTACATCATGCCATCTTCGATCACTTATAGCCTTGCATCACGATGAGACAATATTTTACTCCCTCTTCATCATCATCTTCTTCATCGAGCTGATCCCCTACTAATATATCGTTTGCCATCAATTAGCCAAAAGCCCAAAACCCACTAGGGGCATAGATGCCCTTTCACGGGCCTCCGAAGGATATAACAACCTTACTCTTGTCTAGATCACTATAAGTAAGAATTCGTACAAAGCTAAGAGCTCTTGATAGTACTAGTCGATTTCTGGAAAGCCAACCCCTCCTAATGAGCATCGGATGGGATTTTACACCCTTTGACTCTCATCTCTCTGCTGAGAGGAAAAAAAACCTTTGAACTCCATGCCTGTTTTGCTGTAGCTGTAGATGGTTTCCAGGACGCCACGTCGGGTCCGTCATGCATATCTAAGCTATGTGAAAATGAGACTTTTGGATACACCATATCCTACTACATTAATGCAATGGAATTTGGAGTTAATACGATGGACAAGCTCTGCAGTCGGTGCACCGCTCTTTTAGCTAACATATCATCTAGCAGAATACACTCCCATCTATCTTGCTTGTGCGAGAACATCACATACCCTTTCCCGAGGTGACAATGGGTTCTCAAAGTAAGACACCTGGAGTGCGGGAGCCGTCCATTGCTAGACGCCGACACACGCCGCCCCTTGGAAAGCAATAACCCACCTACTCATCTTGACTCATTTTAGTCAAAGAACACCTGGCAATCCCCTAGCAACCCTTAGTAATAGCGCCACATCGTCCCCGACGGTTAGGCAGTTGGCCCCATGCTACACTGCGTGGGACATATGGTTGCTCCGAGGAGCTTTGTGGACACACCTTCGACCCGAAGTTGATTGACTCTAATAGTCTTAGACATTCAACCGTTCTCGAGGTTTGTAAGTCATATAGGTGGTGGACCCGAGGACCTCCCCGCAAGACCTCAGATCCAGCCTAGGCTGGAGAAGCGATGGTCCATGACCTGCAGGGTTTTTCCGACTTATTTAAGCAATCTGGTAATGTGAGGGGCCCCTTTTGGCCATTACACTATTCCATGTTAAACAAACTGGCCATATATACGAAGGGATCCCCTTGGCCATGATGCTAATATCTCTTTCCACAAATATAAAGATGTAGTGTTTAAAATTTATTTGTAAATATAAGATCTCTAGAGTACTATTTCTGCTAGTACCCTTAATTTGATTTTTATCCAATCTTACCCCTAAGTACCCTCACATCTCTTTTTAATGAAGAATCATTGCCATTTATATTTCTTCTTACCTATCTATCGCAAGAATCGTACAAGTACTCCTGCCACAGCGCGCGGTATCACTGTCATTGTTATGTTCCATCACGCGATTCATGAAGTTAACTGTCATTGTTATGTTCCATCGCACACGATCGAACGAGTGTCGTGCCTAACACAGAAAGGGATCTATATACTTAGAACAGGTACTTAATTAGGGTGCTCGATCGTGATTAACCGCCGTGAATCAGC